AGCCATGAGCACCCCAGCCCCTCAGCACCGTATTCTCAGCCATGAGCGCCCCAGCCCCTCAGCACCGTATTCTCAGCCATGAGAGCCCCAGCCCCTCAGCACCGTATTCTCAGCCATGAGGTCTTCTCTTCTGGCCAGGCCAGAAGAAGCTGCTCTGGCTGCTTGCCTCTAAGCCATCATCCAGGACTTCTCAGTCTGTCCCTCAAAAGCCCCCAATCTCTTAAGAGGTTGACCCCTTCCCTAGGGAGGAGTGTGGGAGCTGTGAACCCACTGTGTCCCAGTACCCTGGCAACAAAGGCTTCTGCCATCCTCTTGAGGCGTGGGTGCCGCGTTTTTAAGTCCGTTGACCAGAAGAGCTGAACTTCCAGGATTCTAGCACAGAGTCTTGCCTGGCTCTTTACCCCAGGGTGCTTCAGTATCTGAGCCTCGTAATACCATGGGGTGTACTTCTGGCCTGGAGCCCTCACCTGAGCAGGGCATCCTTGAGAGGCTGATCCCCACAAGCCCTGACAAGTGGGAGGGGAAAAATGAAGGGCCACTAGCGGCCACTCGGGATTAGGAGCCTGACTGTTGAACTTTTGTTGGGCCATAAAAGAAGGCCCCTTGGGTCGTGAGCTTGGAGTCAAGACTCAAACCTTGGCGACAAGGCCCATATCGGGGTGCTTCCCTGCTCCCAGCCCTCAGAGGCCTGGCAATTGCAAGTGCTCCTCAGGCCCCAGTCTGCTGTCACTTTGGCACCATGTCACCTCTGACCTCACAGTGTGGACCATACAGTAGACAATAGAGCTATCATGGGCCCCAACCCCACCTGGTTCCACCCGTCATCCTACTGCTGCCCATTCTCAGGAGCACCTTCCTCTGTGACCCACGTTTGCCACACTTTATGCCAGAGTGTTCTTACCAATCCCAGCCGAACTCACAGCCACTGGGTTACTTGTCCCGAGCTGGCTCTTCCAGGCTGTTCCAAAAGGGTTTAGTTGTGACCTTTTGGGTCCCCTGCTTTCTAGTTACTCTACAGAGGGATAGGCCAGCAGGGCCACATGCCCTGTCCCTGCCTAACCCGGCTGGGCTGGCTGCCACACCTGGGTTATAGTTCATAATCTTCCCTCTCTCCTGGCAAAGACTGGGCTCTGCAGCCAAGATGCCAAGGAGCGAACAGGTTCAGTCAGCCACGGTAAGCACATAAGATCACTACAGCTTTCAGACACTGCCACCGTTGCACCCCACCCCAGCCTGCCAGGCATGAGAGAGCAGCCCCTCACACTTGCTGGAAAATGATGGCTGAGCTCACCAGCCATCTGGGAACCCTTCCAGCCCCAGCATAGAGTCCTGGGTCACTGTGGCTCAACCGAGGATGCCCTCCCTTGGCCTCACCATGGTCATCCAGGCCTACCAGTGTAGCCAGGCCAGCTGGTTGGGCGCCTGCTGGACAGACATTACAGTGGGGTGACGGACCATAGCCTCTGGCTGTTTAGCCACAGGTGACTCAAGGTCAAGGGTTTAGGGAAAAGAAAGTGAAAATTTCAGGCAGCTGCCATGCCATCAAGAGTGTCCCAAGTGTGAGCCAAGAGCAGGCAGCTTCCCTGCTGCTGGCATCCATGAGTAGCCATCAAGAGTAAGCCCAGGCCATACTTGGCTTGCTTCCCTGAGGACACATCTGTCCCTCAAACTACAGTGTTGTCCTTAGGGTTTCTGTTACTGAGATGAAAAACCGAGACCAAAAAAAAAGTTCAGGAGGAACTTTACACTCCACATCAGGGTTCATCACCAGAGATGTCAGGACAGGAACTCAAACAGGGCTGGAACCTAGAGGCAGGAGCTAAGGCAGAAGCCGTGGACAGGAGCTCCTTATACTGGCTTGCTCAGCCTGCTTTCTTATTTTGTTTGTTTTATTCTTGTTTGTTTTTCAAGACAGGGTTTTTCTGTGTAGCCCTAGCTGTCCTGGAACTAGATTTGTAGACCAGGCTGGCCTCTACCTCTAGAACCTCCAGCGTGCTGGGATTAACTCTGCGTGCCACCACACCTGGCCTCAGCCTGCTTCTTACAGAACCCAAGCCCACCAGCCAAGGGAAGATCCCACCCACAATGGGCCTATCCATGGATGGGCCTATCCCCATCCATCACTGATTAAGACAATGCCCTTGTGAAGGCCTTTCTCAGTTGAGGTTTGCTCCTTTCAGATGCCTCTTAGTCTGTGTCAAGTTGACAGGAAACTAGCCAGCACACACAGGGGCTGTACCTTATCCCTGTGGCCTGCACAAATACTCTGGGCTTCTGGGTGCTGGGGAGAGATGGTTGCAGCCTGAGACCATCTCACTGATTAGGTTTGCCTGAGTCAGAGTCTGTATTCACTGCTGTCACCCCAAGCCTTCAGACAAAAGGAAGGAGTGAGGAAGAAGCCCCTCCACCTCGGCAGAGATTGAGAGTGACATGCCACCCTGTAATTTCAGAGCAGAGCAGGGGAACAAGGGGTCTAATTTACATAAGAGTACAGCATTTGGAGAGCCTGCTTGACTCTTGCAGCTTGCAGCCGTCATTCTGGAACATCCCATTTGACTACAAAAGTGTTCCTTTGTGCTCCCCAAAAGCAGATGCTTCGGCAGGGAAGGGAGACATGAGAGCAAAGCAACAAGCAAGCTCAGCATGAGCAAGGGCCTGTGGGAAGCTCACTGGTTGCCCACCTGTGCGTGCTCTGGATCCAGGG